GGCAGCACGCCATCTTGCATTCGACGACACGCACCACGTATTGCTCACCGGTGTCTCTCCGCCGACTTGGCTGCGGGGCCGAAGCAAGAACTTCGGCGTGACAATGGTACTAAGTACCACACTCATACAGGGCTGTGTAGTAGCTCAAATGTTATCCACAAGGTATTGCGCACACACACACCCACAACCACACCACACACACGTACTGCCCGGCAATGTAGCGATACAACGCGAGCCTGCAAGCACAAACGCGGAGGCTGCGGGGCAAACTCGAGTCGCGACGACGCTACGATGTATGAACGTCACTGACAATTCATGCAAGTGTGTAGTATGCCACATGTAATCACGCAGCACACACGCACGCATGCCGGCAACGCAGCGCACGCACGCACGCACGGTACACACCACGCACGGGCACGCAAGTACACACAGAATCATGGCCACGCTACGATGAACAGTTACACACGCAGCACGCTACGCACGCACATCGTACGCACAGTACACACGCACGATGCAACCGTAACCAGAGATTACATGCGACGCCGCACGCACTGTGACGGCAGCACGCAACATGCCGCACGCCATGAACGCCGCACATGCACGCACGCACATGCACGCACGCACATACACAGACATCACCAGACGCCGCACAGCACGCACGCACGCACGGCACACGCACGCACGCACGCACGCACGCATCATGTATGCAAGCATGCAAGGACACATCTGCAATGTAAATTCAAGACAACAGACGACAACGGTGGCGACAGCGCCGGCGGCGACGACGACGACGACCGCACATAAACCAGAAACAAACCGGCCTCACATCCATGAACCCAAATTGCTTTCGACGACAGTGCCGTTACAATTTACGAACACCGTAGGCGATTTTCGACACTAAAGTCATTCACGCACGGGCCACTTCGTACCTCTGTGCCGGCGGGCCGTCCATGATAATATTGATCCAGAGAATCTGCATGGCGTTGAGAGGGTTTGGTATGCGCAGCAGCGTTGCCAAGGCGATGAGCGACAGCGCGGCGATGCTGGTGCTCAGTTGGAACCGCACAAAGTTCTTGATGTTGTAGAAAATGCCCTTGCCCTCTTCTATTGCAGCCCTGGGAGGAGGGAGAAGGGAATCATGAAGTTTACGAGAGCACACTCGTGGCCAGCGACAGCTTTAGCGTAGGAAGACAGTTAGCGTGACGCATTTAAATGAGGCAATATTGAACAAAATGAAAAATGTAAATTTTACAATTAACGTCGTTTGTCACAATAACTGTTAGCTAATTTAAACGTACAAAACTTATTTTATTTACTTAGTAGGTAGTTTATTACATTAGTTATACGGGTTAGGATTTACATTCCGTGCACAAACTCATTGGCTTTCGCATTTACTGAGGAATTCACATTGTGAAGAGAGAGAGAGAGAGAGAGAGAAAGAGAGAGGTAGCGAGTGAGAGAGAGAACTAGTGCAGGCACTCAGACACTCGGCTCACGCACCTATGTCAGCCTTCCTCAGTGCGACGGCGTCGTTCACTCCGTCCCCGGTCATCCCGACTATCGCTTGATTCGCCTGTAGCGCCTGCAAGCATCCCATGATTACGATGAGAGTGCAATCTAATGCAATCTAATACCTAGTGCAATCTACATAGACATGGCGATTACAGACACGGCTAAAGACGTTTCGCGGGCTAACCGTGACAGAATTGCAGGGATGGCTGGGTGTGGTTCGCTCATCCCTGTTCTGTACATCAACAGACACTGCTGCAGAATTTTTGTCACTTTCCATGCGTTTTTGCAATCTGCTGCGGACAAATGACTGTCACTACCAAGTTTTAACATTGTTTCTAGCATTTTTTCCACAATTCTAAAGTATGCTTGAAAAAATCTTTAGAATACTATATAGAACTAATAGTATATAATAATATATACATATATATATATATATATACATAATGCTATAAAACTAGATCATACGTTCGGACGAATGCGCGAGGACGCGTGCGCGAGCATTACCTTGACGATCTTCAGCTTCTGGCCGGGGCTGACCCTGTAGAAGACGGTCGTCTGCGATATGATGCTACGCAGGTACGCAAACTCCATCAGCTCCAGCTCCTCGCCCGATAGCACCCTCTTGCCACTCGCGTGGAGACCGAGGCGACTGGCTGCAGACGCAAACACAAGAACGCTGTTCGCAATACGTGTTAAAAAAAAAACGACTTATTTTTTATATTATAAATATTATTATATTATAAATACTATAATTTGAAATAATACCTATTATTATTAGCTCTTGATTTTATTAGCTTATTATTTCTTTATTATCTTGGTATTACTAGATCGTGGTATCATTTCAAATTATATTATTATCAAAGAAGGGCAATTCTACTTTATCACAGGCACATCGAAGTCAAACAGAAACTAAACTCGGTAACCAACATGTGCTGACGAGCATGATAGTTCCAATTCCAATTACATGTATTAATTAGGATAACTACTCTAAAACTACTAATTGCAAAACTCACCGATCGCGCAGGCCGTTTCGAGGGAGTCGCCCGTGAGCATTTTGATGGACACGCCCCCCGCGGTGAGAGCGGAGATGGCTTCCCTCACGCCGGGCCGCGGCGGGTCCAGGATGCCCACCAAGCCGAGGAACTCCAGCTCGTTCCAGCTCTCTCCGCTCGCGATTGCCAGAACTGCACGAGAGAGAGACGAGGGAATAACGAGATCCATTCAAAACGGAGAAAGAAACCTCGAAACGCTAGTGAACGAGTAGGTGTGATGCGGCGGTGAGACAAAATTTCTATACAGACGAGCAAATACGAGATCCGTTTCAAAACGGATACAGAGAAGCCGACCGAAGGCTCAAAACGCTAATGAATGGGTGTCCTATGTGCGGCAGTAAAACTACATGTATATGCTCACTGTGTTGCAATACACAATAGTTTCTTGGAGCTATCGAATAAGCACAGTAGTGAAAGAATAATGAGAATAATAAGATACTATTATATAATAAACATTTAAATACATATAATATACACACATATATTTATATATATATATATATTATTTATAGGATTACAAACTAAATTTGTTTCTATTTACTCCTGATGTGATAACAGATGCACGTCACCATAAATAGCATCTAATAAGATGCAGATAAGATCAGATATGACAAGATAATATACTGATAGGACTGTGTACAATCTACGTCTCTACCGACGATTCAATTTCGGTCGACGTGCGATGAAACAACGCCGGAGCCACTATAGCCTTCTGCCGACTACTCACCTCTTAGTCCCGCAGTGCCGAGATGTCTGGCCTCGTTGAGAAAGTGCTCCTCCTTCATGCTCGTCATCGGCATCGCCGCCCTGGTAGTGGTACGTACGACACTGCTTCATCACGCGCTCGACGGCTCCCTTCACGAAGAGAATCTCCGCCGCGTTCTGCGGCGAAAAACGGTGTAAGTGTTGTTTGTCAGTTCGTCGGCTCTGTTTTGCTATTGGTTATTTGTTATTATTAAAGGGATAGTAGATTCTAGGATTTTACTGCATACAACTGTACTTACTGTATAACAAATAGTCTATACCCACACGATTTGTTACCAGATACCTAATTTAATTGCTATAATTAATTACACATCAACGCTACGAAATTTGAACGGCACCATGACACCCGCGACCGTGCTACCACCACGAAAAAGTTGCGTATTTGACAATTATTTTCACGTTACAGACCGAGGGCTAATCACAAAAGTGCAATTATATTTATACCTAAATGCTATTTAACCGAAATATTCATTTTTAGGCAAATTTATCCATATTATATGTGAAACTATATGTGTTTATAAGATTTATCAATCCTTTTCTTTTAAATGAATAAATAAGAAACACCCTCGTCTGTGCCGCTTGCCTGGAAAGTGGTTTTGCACAACTTAGCAGATCGTCGCTTTGAGTGGCGCCAGTCCCGTCGTTATAATCAAACTGTAGTCGTTAGTTTTAAAACATTTTTTTATATATTTCTAATGTGATGTGAACGCATGAAACTTTTATGTAGCGTAATTTTAAAACTAAATTAACTGAAAATAACCCTAGAACCTAGAGTAAACGATCCCTTTAAGTTTAGTTTAATTTATTTTTTATGCTAAATTATTATTCATTTATTCATCATTCTGCGCAAAAACGTAATAACGGGATAAGAAATTATCATTACAACACTGATACATATATTCATTTCGATGCTTGGCTTGTCATTAGTTATTATTTTTGGCATTGTTGTATTTATATCCATTTTTGTACGTTATATATCATATATTATTTTATTACTTCATATTAACATAATATAATTTATAAAGTTACATAAATGTTATTAAGTATGCAGAGAAAATAGCATGCTACCAGGAGCATGGTATGGCACTGAATAATGGAATGTTCGGCTAACGCTCCATTAGGAGTGTTCCCAACTTTGATATCATTAATGATTAATGATTAATGATTGATAATCCTAACCTAACCTAAATGACATTAACACAAAACTAATATATGACCATGACCATATATATATATATAATAATACTATACTAGTTATTATGACCATTAATGACATTAAAGTTGGGAACACTCCTAATGGAGTAATGGACTAATGTTCTCTCACTTCTCACCTCACTGTATCGTTGAATGCACTTCACACCCATGTACTTTGTCTCGTGGCTGAAAGGAAACTCTTGCTGCCTCAAGTACTGGTCCCTCGCGTCCGGCATTCCCATCTTGCGAAAAACACGCGGTTTAAATACACGAATAATATATTTAATAATAATATCGCCATGACTGTAAAAACACTGACAATGACAAAGCTTAAATGCGAAACATCGTACAACCTTCCCATAACCCCCCGCTCACCTTTTCTGCGACAATAAGCAAGGCGCCCTCTGTTGGTTGTCCATGGAGAATCTCTTCAAACACATGAGCATTATTGCACACTGACCCGGCCTGAAACATCAGCATTACATTAATCAATGCCAAAAGCAAAATACATCACCTGTATATTAAGGCAAAGTAAACCTCATTATTAAGTAAACCTCATCATAAAGTAAACCTCATATTAAGTAAAGGAAACCTCAAAAACCATCCTTTATAGCTAGGTGTCCATTCGATAGAGGAGGATTCGCTGTATAACTGTCACTCAAGGGATAACTGTTAAATGTACTTTATAAGGTGTCCGTTCTATCGAGGCGATTACTAACACAAGTTCGACGGTACACAGATACTGATAAAATCTGTTGTTTTACCTGATAACTACGAAGCATAAAATAATAAAAAGCTAAAAAAATAATAAATACTAAGTAAACTTACAAGTGATTAGCTATTAACAAACGACATCACTATTGTTTACCTCTATTAGCTTACTGATCGAAGGGTGAGAATTTCTCGTCACTTTGGTCTTGTTACACAGAACGACTCCGTGTGCATTATAGCCCACGCCTGTCACCTGGTGTGTAAAAAAATAGAATAACACATGTCACCTCGTGTGTAAAAAACACCTCAGCATACTGGCCACCTCCACTTTCCTGTCCTTTTATCTCCCTGCTCTATCTCTCCCTACCTATCTTTTGCTACGTGTCTATCGTAAAACATGCCGTCCCTACTCACCCTAACGTGTGTTACAGACCTGCCAACCTGTGATTCATGAAAATAGTAAGGCTTTTCTTTTCTTGCAGCAGGCGGCCATTTTGTTTGTATGTTATGCGCGCAATTAATGATGGGACTAAATGTAGATCACGCGAGAACAACGTGAACGCGTGATCCAATATGGCTGCGCCCACAATCGCCAGATATTTCTCGGCTCACAATGTAAAAAACGCATTAATTTTCAAGTCGTAAAAAATCGTAAGTTTTTCAGTTTGATCGTACATTCGTAAAAACATCTTGCAATTAGTAAGGAATACGAAAAAATCGTAAGGGTTGGCAGGTCTGGTGTTAGCATGCCTGTGCAGTATGATTCCTGCCTCTCATCACTGTCGTCCTGTATCTTTGTCTCGCCCTTCTATCTCTCTCTCGCGCCCTGTCAGCGGTATCACAGTACAACACGCTCTCCCTGCTTCCCCTGTGTATCAGCATGATAGCGTGTGCCCGTAATCCCTGCCTGCCCT